GAAAAGATGCTTAATTTTGAAATTTTGATCAAAATTTCAAAATTAAGCATCTTTTCTCTTAAAATTTAAAATTATAAGGTAAACGTATGTTGATATGATGTATATTTATGCGTAGAACTAGTTTACTTAGAACATAAAGGTAGATTTAATTAATATAATTTTGTGGATTTTAATATTTTCCATAATTTTATTAATAAAATTATGGAAGATATTAAAATCCACAAAATTGTATTAATTTAATCTACCTTTATGCTCTAAGTAAACTGGGTCTACGCATAAAAATACATCATATCAATATACGTTTACTATATAGTTTTAAATTTTAAGAGAAAAGATGCTAAAGTAATAAATTTCTCCACGTAATCTTAATATGTAAGCATCGTTTGGTTCAATCTCTAAAGCTTTGCTCAAATCCTCTATAGACTCTATATATTTTTTTATATTGAAATAAGTTGCTCCACGTTGCTTTAATGCCCATATGTCACTTGAGTTTATTTCTAATATATCATCAAAAATTTTAAGCAATTCATCATAATCCATTCTTGTAGCATCTATAAAGTTTATATTTCTATCCAATCTAAATCTATTCATGATTTTAAGCCTCGGATAGTTTCTTGAAAGCATTTTTTTTCCTTCTACTGAAAGGCTTGAATTATTATACAGACATAAAACAAAATCGACAACCCGATTACTTTTGTAGAAAATAGATTCAAAGATCTGATTTAATATATTGAATTTTAGTTCGCTTTCATGATAATCAAAGTACAATGGAATTGAATATTCAGGACTTTTGAGTGGAATATTTGCAAAAAGAGAAAGAGCGCAAAGTGGATTTATTCTCCTACCCACACTAACTTCAAGTTTTCTTAATTGATTATGATTTCTGTGAATTTGAGCAAGCTGTTCTAATGTATAGAGTGGAATTTTTAAACTTTCGAGGTTTATCACGTACTGTGCAATAATTTTGACAAGCTGAGTAATATCAAGATCATCAGGGGAATTCCAATCAAGTATAATTCGTTTAAGTGTATTGCAACTTGTCATAATGAGATCAGATAATAATCTAATAGGGGTTGTACTATCATAAATGTCATAAGCACCGTAAGAATATTCCAAATATGTTAAATTTGAAAAAGCAGTGGCAAAAGGAAGAAATACAGAAGAGTTGAGCCCTTCACAATTCTTAAATTTTATTTTGTTGATTTTTGTACACCGAGCCAATACATTAATAACACTGCTGTTTAATTGACAAATAGCATATTTAAAAAATCTTCTGCTGCTTAAGTTATAGTTGCAATGCATGTCCTTAAATGTTACAGCTAAGTGAATATTCTTGATTCGCAAGAGCTTGAACAGGAAATGATGCAAATTCATTACTGTTAATCAGAGAAAACCTTTTTAAATGTTTTTGAGAACGGATGAGAGTGGCTAAAGCTATTCCTTCATTTTCATAGTAAATACTGATTTTGAGACTTCGATATTATGACAATTCTCCGCTATTGCATTAAAAGTTGTATTTTTTGCATTGACCATTGATAGCTGCAATTAAAATAAGTCAATCTACTAAATTTAGAAATGAATTCAGAGAAATGAGGAAGTACCAAAGTTTCTATATTTTCTAGCTCATTAGAAAGATGATGATCAAGACAGCTATAGACAACAAATCGGCGAAATCTTACATTCCTCACAGCAAGTATTCTAAATAGTTTAATTATAATACCTTTACAGCATTTATTTTCTATAGCCTCATCAATGAATTGGTCATATGAGAGCTCTTTAAGAAATAATTGATAGTTAAAAAGAGGTCTTTTAATCGTGAATCCAATTCTTCCAATATATCCCAATTTGCGAAAAGTACCACCTGGTATAAATGCGAGATAGGTCCGGATCACTTTGGGAGATGGAATCTTTTTATCTTTAATTCTGAAAGGAGCTTCCCATAAAATTGGAACAGCACAAAAGTAACCCAATATTTATTAACCAAGAGACAAAAATGTAAATCTTTATTGGTCGGAAGAAATCTAAAAATCGCATCTAAATATTCTGGTGCAAATATTTGATCCATTTTTATTAAGGTAATTATTTGAAGTTTAGGGAATTTGTAATAATTATTTCAAAACTACGGTAAATATAAATTATGGGATGCAGGACCACTCACACGTGTAATAACAGGAACGGAGTGATATTGAAAATTTCACAAAAGTGTATCTATCTATCTATATCATCAATTCTGGATTTGTAGGTTTTAACGTTTTTGATTGGAATAGATCCGAATTGTGATCTGAAACATGATCCAAGTGGAAAATTAACTACGACATTTGTTACATTTGTTATGCGGGACATAAAATTACTAAATTGATTACTTGCAAATTTGTAAATTAAAATTACGTGTCGCATATATTACTATATATACCATCCCAATAATTGGAAAATCATACATATGTAAGTATGATGTGAAATTTTATAATGGGTTTAAATGTGATCAGAAATGTCATAATGATCATATCCGAATTCCAAAATTGTGAAAGTAGGGGAATAATAGTTCAACATTTGCTGACTCATTACTAATATCGAAAAGCATCGCATTACACTTTATTGTTGGACTATGCCGGCAAATTATTTTAGGCCGGAGACGATTTTATTGAAGCAATTAAGTGGTGATTAGTACATGATCATGAAGCGAGTGATTGACCGAGATTTGTCAGAACGGCAAAGACATCCCGAGAGGTTGCAATAAATATTGCGCTGGGAGTCAGTACGAGCTGTTATGTGTTTTTTTTTGAGTAAAAGATACAGATATTGGATGTAGTTATTAGATTTGAATCATCATACGTGATTTTTAACTTGGTTTGAAAAATATTCTTATAATGTTAACTTACTAGCTGTTTATGTAGTTTTTTGTGTAAAAGATACAGATATTATATTCTCGTACGTGATTTTTACTTATTTGAAAAAACTATCCTTATAATGTTAACTTACAGGCTATTATGTTTGTTTTTTTTATGCAGCAAAGACAGATATAGTTATTAGATTTGAATTCTCGTACGTGATTTAAACTTGATTTGAAAATATTCTTACAATGTTACTTACCGGCTAGTGTTATGTAGTGTTACGTAGTTTTTTTTTTTTTTTGTGTGTGTAGCAGATACAGATATTGAGATGTAATTATTTAAATTTGAATTATCGTACGCGATTTTTAATTTGATTTGAAAAATATTCTTATAATGTTAACTTACGAGCTGTTATGTGGTTTTTTTTTTTTTTTTTTTTTGTAGCAGATACAGATAGTTATTAGATTTAAATTTTCGTACGTAATTTTTAGCTTGATTTGAAAAAATATTCTTATAATGTTAACTTACTCGCTGTTATGTAGATTTTTTGTAGCAGATAGTTATTAGATTTGAATTCTCGTATGTGTTTTTAATTTGATTGAAAAAAATATTCTTATATGTTAACTTGCTTGCTGTTGTGTAGTTTATTTGTTTATTTTTTTTTTGTGTGTAGCAAATACAGATATTGAGATGTAGTTATTAGATTTGAATGGTCGTACGTGATTTTTAACTTGATTTGAAATTATTCTTATATGTTAACTTACAGGCTGTTATGTAGATTTTTTTTTTTTTTTGTTTAGCAGGTACAGATAGATATTGAGATGGAGTTATTAAATTTGAATTCTCGTACGTAATTTTTAACTTAATTTGAAAAATATTCTTATAATGTTAACTTACTCGCTATTATTTTTTATACAGATACAGATATTGAGATATAGTTATTAAATTTGAACTATTGTACGTGATTTTACTTGATTGAGTAGCAGATGATGTAGTTATTAGATTTGAATTATCGTATGTACGTGATTTTTGAAAAATATTCTTAAAATGTTAACTTACCGACTAGTGTTATGTAGTTTATTTTTTGTGTAATAGATACAGGTATTGAAATGTGATTAAATTATTATTAATTTAATTTTTTTAAAGATACTGATTTTATTAACTTACGATTTTTTAACTAATTTATAGGTTCCCACTGCCCACGTATCATGTGGCTTAATTTCCAATAATTTCTTCAAATCAGCAAACGAGTCTTCATATCTTTTCATCATATAATAAATTTCTCCTCGATATCTTAATGCTACGATATTATTTAGGTCAATTTTTAGTAGTTTAGTAAAATCTTCAAGTGCCTCCTCATATTTTCCTATAATAAAATAGATTTTTCCTCTATAGCTTAAGTCAATTGTATTATTTTGATTTTTTTTCAATGATTTTGTTAATTGATTTATTAAATCAAGGAGAGTTTCTTCATATTCGCCCCTAATAAAATAAATCTTTTCTTGATATTCAACTGCGAATGCATTGCTTAATTTGTTGCTAATATCTTCATTGGTCATTACTATTATTAAAATAACAAGATTAACAAATTATTTAAACTCCAATTGTCGCTATCTTTTGTATCATTTAAAAAATTACCAGAATATTTAAAGCCTCTATCTCCAAAATTTACTTCGATAAATCCTCCTGGTGATCTAAATCCGACACAAGGATATAGAGCACCTTCCAAATCATCAGGCAAGCAATTCCTTGAAATAATTATAAAGAAATGATTCTTATCTAAGCTTTGGAAAGATAAAATTTAATTTTAAAGTAATATTTACCTAGGTTTATTCCATTTCTAGTATAAAATACCAACTTGTTTCTGAAATTTAAATAGCATCCAATAGTATCACTAGTAGTATATGATGGCCCATATGGCTCGCTACTTCCGGAACTAAATGAATATCCATCATCGCCATGGTAACCCAAGAGTTATTTTCTTGCCCTTAATATATTGTAACGAAAAGTATTGATCTATTGCTCTAAATAAAAAATAAAAAAAGTATACTAATTTCCTATTACCAGGCATTGCCATGATATCAATAATTTCTGATTTTTTATCTTGATCGTTTGTCTTTGCGCAAAATCCGATTCCAATCATTCTTTTGAGAGATTGAATTATATATTAAAATAAATTACGAGCAATTTCAATACAATTAATTTTCTCCAAGTGCATCAGTTTGTTATTATAAAAAAATGCAATAAATTATTGTGTTTTTGTGTTTAGATAAATAAAACATTCGTATTTATCGCTGTTTGCAAATTGATAAAATTTGTAGATCACTGCGAATTTTTTTTATTTGAATTTTATGAACCTATAAAATTCAAATAAACGAAAGCATTGCACGCATGATTCAATTTTGGATGAACCGGTCTGATGTACCGGAGATAAGTATTTATTAACTTGCGAATGCAGTTATGATTTAAGCATGATTGACACTGAAACGGATGAACTCCCGGAAAATAGCAACCGAAGTTGCGCCGGGAATCACCGTAAGCAGTTGCGTTTGAGATGTACAGCATTGGCCGGTGGTTTCCCGCCTGCATTTGCATAACGCAGGCTGGCCGTCAGCGCGAATTGTAAACAATGCATTTAGAAATCATTATGAAAATGTATAAGTATTTTATATATATATATATACCATATACCATATATGTTATTGATTGATTGATTGATGATGATTTTTTTTTTTTTCACTGCAGGGTGGGAAGGGGGCCGGGTCGCGAATTGGTTTCTTTCTCGCAGCAGAAATGGCGGCTACTTAGCGCAGCTACTACATTCACCTTCTTTTTCTTTGTGATTTACCTGTTCCAGCCCTGGCCGGGCTTTGTTGGCAGTTGCCATACTCGGAAGTTGATTTAAGCATCATGCTTACCTTCGTTTGGATTTCCACATGAATTCAGTGTTACCTCATCGATTTTCACATGCTCCGTATCTTGCCGCCTCGGACTCATGATGGCCCGGCCCCGGAGCTTGCCACCTGCTTAGCCGTCTTTCGATCTGTTGACTGCGCACACGTCCGTATGCACGTCAACTCGAAAGAAAATCCATCGAATTTGATCAGGTGGTTGCTGAGATATCATCGCTCAAAGTTTTTTTTTAAAAAAAATGCAATAACCTGCGCCAAAATTTTCTTAAAACTTTGAGCAAAGATATTTCAGCAACCACCTGATCAAATTCGGTCAAAATTTTTTTATTTGAGTTCTATAGATCATAGAATTCAAATGAAAAAAAATTCCTAAAACTTTGAGCGAAGATATCTCAGAAACCAACTGATCAAATTCGGTGAAAAATTTTTTTATTCAATTCTTTCCATAGAATTCGATAAAAAATTTCATCGAATTTGATCAGATGGTTTCTGAGCTATCTTCGCTCTAAGTTTTTTTTGAAAAAAAAAATCAAAAAAAACCAAATCCACTATAGTACAAGAGTGAAAAAATGTAGTAACTCCATGAGTTCTCGTTTATTTGAGTCAATATTTCAAAAAAAAAAAAAATTTAATATACGGTTAAACTTCACAAAATCGATCCTCTATAAATCAATAACATGTCAAATTAGATAAAAAATTAGCTCACCAAGTCCGTTTCCATCAAATCAAATTTAATGAATTTTATTTTTTTTTATTGAATTCTATAATCCATATAATTCAAATAAAAAAACTTTCATCGAATTTGATCAGGTGGTTGCTGAGACATCTCACATTGCTCAAAGTTTTAAGAAATTTTGACGCAGTTTCTATTTAATAAACGTTTAGCTATTTTTAAAAAATTTTGAGCGAAGATATCTTAGCAGCCACCTAATTAAGTTTGATGGAATTTTTTTATTTGAATTCTATGGATATATAGAATTCAAATAAAAAAAAATTCATTAAATTTGATTAGATAGTTGCTGAGATATCTTCGCTTAAAGTTCGGAAATTTTTGGCACAGCTTCTATTTTAAAATTCATGGTACCCACCTTGATTTTGAAATGTTAAGTCTAAAATTACCAAGACTTTTATAAGATATATTAAAATTTTATTCTGTAAAATCTTAGCTCAAATGTACGAGAACTCATGGAGTTACTACGTTTTTTTCATTCTTGTATTATAGGCGAATTTGGGATTTTTTTTGATTTTTTTTAAAAAAACTTTGAGCGAAGATATCTCAGCAACCACCTAATCAAACTCGATGAATTTTTTTACTTGAATTC